TCTAGAAATGAGAGCTGCTCCTTCCCAAGTGGGATGGATGCCGTCTCTCTGAATCAGACCAGGTCTTCCCCAGAAAGTCTGCCCATGATCAACAAAGCCCACATCGTTTGCTGGACACCACCTCGACAACCAGCGGCGGAATAACGACATGCGGCTATACATGTCATCACTGGTCAGATTTGGCAGGGGTCCAGGTGTGCTCGTACGCGTGCTCGCTTGAACTCATGAGTGAGCATAATCCGAAACACAACCACTTTCATACAGAAATCCTGCAATAAACGCAGAAACACCTGCACGCAGGCTGTGGCTGTTCTCCAGACATGTTCAGGCTCTGTTATTTCAACGTTCCCGTCTCAGAGGCAGAACAACTGTTATAAGGGCGGCTGTGACTCAGCAGGTAGAGCCGATTGGCCGTTAATTGGTAGGTCGGCGGTTAAATCAAAGTCAAAGTGTCCCTGGGCACGGCTGCCCCCCCGTAATAGGATCAGCTGTGCACATTTATAGGTGATAGATATTTATTAGTCCTTTCGTAATTTCATACTGTGTCATACAGCAAACATCAGACCAACTACTAGACAGCCGCTTTACAACACACACATCACCCCAGTGCTATACAAGTTATATTAAAGGCTCGTGCAGCCTACATGACTTTAAGCGTCGGCCGATGGCCGTGCTGTTCACACAACCTGCCATGAAGGCAGTCTTGAAGTCGTGTGGCAAGAAGGTTTGCTGTGGCTGTCAGTGTAGTGTCCAGAGCATGGAGGTGCTACCAGGAGACAGGCTAGTACATCAGGAGACGTGGAGGCCATTGGAGGGCAACAATCCAGCAGCAGGACCGCTACCTCCGCCTTTGTGCAAGGAGGAGCAGGAGGAGCACTGCCAGAGCCCTGCAAAATGACCTCCAGCAGTGCAAGTGTCTGCTCAAACGGTCAGAAACAGACTCCATGAGGGTGGTATGAGACGTCCACAGGTGGGGGTTGTGCTTACAGCCCAACACCGTGCAGGATGTTTGGCATTTGCCAGAGAACACCAAGATTGGCAAATTCGTCACTGGCGCCCTGTGCTCTTCACAGATGAAAGCAGGTTCACACTGAGCACATGTGACAGACGTGACAGAGTCTGGAGATACCGTGGAGAACGTTCTGCTGCCTGCAACATCCTCCAGCATGACCGGTTTGGCGGTGGGTCAGTAATGGTGTGGGGTGGCATTTCTTTGGGGGGCCGCACAGCCCTCCATGTGCTCGCCAGAGGTAGCCTGACTGCCATTAGGTACCGAGATGAGATCCTCAGACCCCTTGTTAGACCATATGCTGGTACGGTTGGCCCTGGGTTCCTCCTAATGCAACACAATGCTAGACCTCATGTGGCTGGAGTGTGTCAGCAGTTCCTGCAAGAGGAAGGCATTGATGCTATGGACTGGCCCGCCCGTTCCTCAGACCTGAATCCAATTGAGCACATCTGGGACATCATGTCTCGCTCCATCCACCAGGAGTTGGCGGATGATTAAGTCCAGGTCTGGGAGGAGATCCCTCAGGAGACCATCCGCCACCTCATCAGGAGCCCAGGCGTTGTAGGGAGGTCATACAGGCACGTGGAGGCCACACACACTACTGAGCCTCATTTTGACTTGTTTTAAGGACATTACATCAAAGCTGGATCGGCCTGTAGTGTGGTTTTCCACTTTGATTTTGAGAGTGACTCCAAATCCAGACCTCCATGGGTTGATAAATTTGATTTCCATTGATGATTTTTGTGTGATTTTGTTTTTGGCAGCACATTCAACTATGTAAAGAAAGGAGTATTTAATTATTTCATTCATTCAGATCTAGGATGTGTTATTTTAGTGTTCCCTTTATTTTTTTGAGCAGTGTATTTTAGCCAAAATCTGTGTTTAGGCCACCCTATTGCAATTACTTAAGTTCATTAGCAATTTCTCATCCTGTCCATCAACAGTCATGTCATAAACATCTCAGCATCTACTGGTTATGTGGAAAGGATATTTTCCAGAATGACCAACAAAGTGACAGCAAGAACACGTGCTCTGTGGAGCTCGTTAGCTTTTGATCACTCTTAACTTTGAGCAGTCCTTTCATAGTTTTACTAATTTTCACTAATCCAGCTTTCTGAAATATGGCCATGGTTTAAAGGTTCAGTGTGTAATATTTAGGATGATCTATTAACAGAAATGCAATATAATACACATACTTAAACTACATTTTTCACTGGTGTATAAAGACCTTAAATAATGAACCGTTCTGTTTTTATTACTTTAGAATAAGCCATTTATATTTAAATACACCGGGGTCCCCTTACATGGAAGCCGCGATGTTGAGCTGCCATGTTTCTACAGTAGCACAAACTAATGTCACTACGTTGAATATGTATGAAGAAGTAATATGAAGAAGTAATAGTAGTTCTAGCAGTAGTCTTCTGATTTGTTAGAATTAAGAATAGACAGAAATCTGTACAAATAGAGGACCACACGTATTATTATTATATGTATTATAGAGCTGACAGCGTGTCGGAGGGGTGAGCAATGAGTGAGCAGCTGGTTGTAATCAGGTTCCAATTCGCAACCCCTCACCATTAGATACCACTGAAGCCTACACACTGAACGTTTAAAATAAGAAAACACTATTACACCCTCCCTCCACCTCCGAGGTACTTCGCAAGCCCACAGCTCCACAAGTCCCGAGCACACAGCTGCACGCAAGTCCACCCTGTTACACCCAAGCACATAGATTCACAAAGCCGTCTGACCCATCCTGGTCCACACACTGGTTTATCGATTGTCCTGCTGCTCTCTTCATGCCCCCTTACCATAGACTGTATATAAAAATGGACATAGTGTCCATGATCAAAGTGGGCGGAGCCGGTCGTCGCCATCTTGGCAGCACATCACCACACGGCACTCTTGGATAACCAAAAATGGGCAAAGAGACGGGTCGTGGGTGGACCCTGGGTTGACTTAACGAGTTGATAACCAGTGTCGTGCGACCACCTGATCGCGGGTGTTAGGGTAAGTGAAGCCAGATAACGAAAAGTTCCTGGGTATATTGAACTTGCTTCGTTGTACAGGCCCCAGGAGCTGCAATTCAGTGAGCAGAGCATTGTCATCCAGCCAGCCTAACAGACAATGTACTGGATGGCAGACGGTTTGGCCAGTGGGCTGAATGACGGTTTGGAGTGAGGTGTGCCCCTGGTGATCGCTCAGTGACCAGAGGGCCAGCCGACAAATCAGACACTGCTTAGAGTGCTACGTAGGCCCAGCTCTGTGAGTGATGAGCCATGTGTTTGGGTTAGCCTCCTCAGTGGAGGGAGGATTTTAATTGTTTACTTATTTAGTGTTTTGCATGACTTAGTTAACATTTGTTGATTATTGCCTTACCTGTGTGATGGAAATTTGATATTTTTCTGTGTTTACTGTTTCAACCTGCATGCTTCATTATTATGGACAAATGTTTCTCTGTGTGGGCGGCGCGGTGGTAAAGTGGTTAGGACAGTCGCCACAACAGCACCTAGGAAGACCCATACACTAATGTTGCAGTAAAGTTACTTACTGAGGTCTAACAAAGTGTAGCTTCAATCTCATTATAATATTCAGTCCAGATCACTAACCATTTCGTTATCACCCAATACATGTAAGTTAGCTGTGCTCACATTGTTGAGCCTCACCTGTACAAGCACACAGCTGCTTGTAACCACACTGCTAGTGGCCGCTGAAAGCTACATATTACCCCTTTAATTACAAACAAGAAATTAACAGGCACTAGTTCCACCACCTAGTTCAAATGTGGCAGAGGTGGAGTATTTATATGTCATGTCGTTCAGCTCTACCTTTGCTCGTGGCTCCTCAGAGAGCCCTCCTCGCTACTCAATCCTAGGAGCACAAAGATCTTTGGGACGGCCTGTAACATGGCGGACCAGAACAAATTCTGGTTCAAGCAAAGTTCAAGGAGAGGGGTAATTTCAAGTAAGAGATTTGCCATACAGTATCTTGATATGCCACACCTGTGAGGCTTACATAAGTGACAACACAAACAAATTGACCTACATTATAATGTGTATTAATGCTATCGAGTGTCACAGTGACTAGCACAAATCATTCTTCAGACCAAATAGCCTACATTATAACATATATTTGTCATGTGAGTTTGTTGTCAGAGCAGCCGAGTTAGAACAGAAGGACATGCAGGTTTGACTCTGAGCTAAAGGTGAATGATTAAATATGATAATTAAGTAATACCATGTAATTACCAAAGTAATAACCAGCTAATAACTTGGTGTTAACAATGGGTGTATCCGGATAATATTACACTGAAATTTATCTGGCAAACTAATTAGTATTATTATAGTAATATTTTGGTAATAATATGCTAACCTTCTAACAAAATTATTTTATCAGTGCAATATTTAGATAAATAGTAAAATAGTAATGTGGTGACATTGATACGTTAATTACCTGCTAATAATGATGTAATATAGGTCAATGTTTTCACAATATTATGGGATGCTATCAGCACAATACCTTCAAAATCACATGACAATTCTTGGAAAAACAGCCATAATGAGTACCTGGAAACACTTCTGTGACTGGAGGTGTGTTCTCAGTAGGGTTTCTCAGAAGAGGAGAGTTACTTCCTCTTATTAGAATACATAACTTTTAATGTGTTGTCCAATCAGCTGCACTGGAAGCAAGCAAGTCAACTGAAATTGGTTAAAGTGTTTGATATTGGATCTAAAATATATAATGTATTTCAGTTTGATGAGAATTTTTGGAAATGCATCTGCAATATGAGCACAAAACATTGATACAACTCAAAGTGAAGGTGGAAGGCGCAGCTGAAGCCTATACATAATAGTTTAAATAGTTTAAATGTAAACTTACTGGTTTATCCACTGGAGTCAATGTGTTGCTCAATGTGCCCATTGTTCTTTGTCACTCTATGTGTCCTAATGTTTTAGTACATAATTCTATTTTTGATTGAAGTCTATGATTGGCTGTTTCAGTATGAAGTCATGTGTAAAGGAGTGCTATAAAAGTTACTGACCAAGAGTTCTTCCAACAGGACCCGGAGATACGCGAAGAGGATCCACCATTCAAATCTTAACAATCTCAACTGCTCCTGCACTTTTACACATCTCTTTAGAGGTCAGAAGGAAAAGCTGACTGAAGTTAGAATAGTTTTTGTGATCTACTTATTTTGTGTATATGTTTTAAATGGTGCTTGCTTATTTACTGATTGGGACATCTTTAAGAGATTTTTTGTTTTTTTGATGTGAGGTGGTATGAGTCGCAGTGGATCATAGCTCAAAGGTCTCTTACCAGAGGCCTGAGCTAATGCCTATACATTAGTGGCCCCTGCCATGTCATGTCAAAACATCACCTCTGATTTTTTATTGTTCTAAAGTTTAGATGAATCTCTCTTCATTTCAATCAATAGTTTTTTGCACAATTTTATGTTTTAAATGTTCAGTGAAGAAGGAAAAGACAGATGTTTGATGTTAAATCAGAGTGGCTGTGGATATTATTCTGTAAATAATATCACAGAGTACGGTCTAGACCTGCTCTTTTATGAAAAGTGCTACGGGATAACTGTTGTTGTAAAATCTATATCAATAAAACTGAATTGAATTGGCAAACCAGTTGAGGATTGAAGCACATATAAACATAAAATTACAATTTAACTTCTGCATGCATTTGCTGCTTTATAGAGCAGCTGTTAAGAAAGGAAGCTACTCACAATGTTTCCTTATATCCGTTAGATTTCATAGATTTGTGTTCCTATCTTTCAGGTTCAGAGCTTGGTTTCCAGCCGTCACAATGAAGACGCCAACTCTCCTCTTGGCAGCGCTGTTGCTGCTGCTGCAGATTTCTGGGATTTCAGCTGCAAGTAAGCTTCACCTTCCGAACCATTTCTTTTAGCATTACTGAATATTAAAAAGCCTGGCCAAATAAATTAGTTTTATCATTTTAGGGTCAACAGTCAGTAATAATGCAAATGGATTTTGTACTCTTAAATTTTTCAGGCTCTGGTCAAACTCCAATTGGAGTTCTGGTTACAAACTCTGTAACAAACGCTCCCAATAACACCTACAGCACCTATGTGACTTACAGAGGAATCTTAATTGGTGGCCTGAGGAGACTGCAGAACGCCAACACAGGCTTTAAGTAAGATTATTAAATCAGCTGTTTGCCTGTATTCTGGGATCAGTCCAAAACCATTTCACACCTTTAGCTGAAACAAAGGTCTCATTGAGTTTAAAGGTTCAGTGTGTAATATTTCTGAGGATCTATCGACAGAAATGCAATATAAGATCCATAACTATGTTACATACTGACATAATAAACCATTATGTTTTTATTACCTTAGAATGAGCCATCTATATCTCCATAACCGCGGGCACCCCCTTCCATGGACGTCGCCATGTTGCATCGTCATGTTTCTACCATAGCCCAAGACAATTTTTTTTTTACTCTTCAATAAATTGATTATGCAATGAATGTTTCTCACATTACAGCATGTGCTGCACTGTTTTTGTTTCAGTTATTGATCCACATCAATCAACCTACTGACGCTTTTTCAATTCCCCAGTATCTCCAGGCAGAGGACATTTAGTTGAATCACATTTTCTGACGGCTCTTTCAGAGGTGTGTCAAGCAGGCTGCAGACTCTTTTAATGTTGTTCAGAATTTTTCAAAGTAAAAGCTCCAATACTGCATTGCAGGAAACAAGCTTCTGGTGCTTTTATTTTGTAGGCAAAACCACTAAAGAGGAAGTGATTATGTGAGTAACTGTTGCTGTCATGACTGAGATCTATTTCAGCACAGCTATCAAAGCATTTATTTATTTATATTTTTGCTGCAATCAAAGCACCATAATCTGTCAGTGGCCAAGTCACAATAACACATGGTTTTACTAAATAATTAAGTAAATATAATTTCTAAATAAACAATAAACCTCATTTCTTGACTGGCCACTCTGCTTTCTCAGAAGAGACACCTTTTGTGCTGTGTCAGACACCATAGCTGTTCTGCGCTCTTGGATAGATTGTTGTAATTCACCATCCTCGCCACTAGATGCCACTAAATCTTACACACTGAACCTTTAATTACACTCTTATGAGTCTTTTCTGCAGCCTCAGATCATCAGGTGGAGGCTTTAAGTCTTGTTGTGTTTTTCTCTGTTTTGTTTTTATTTCTTTTTTACTTACATTGTTTTTTTGAGTGCATGCTGTGTTTTTAATGCTTCATAAAGCACTTTGTCACTTTGTGTTAAATTGATATGCAAAGACATTAATGTCTTTGTAAAAAGACAACACTATTCTGGTAATAATAGCAAACTTTCTTCAAGTTATCTCCTGTTGTTCTTGCAGGTTCACCTACATAGAGGATCCAAACTATGGCCCGTACCTTCAGAGTGTGAATGGTTTGGATGGATGTACACAAGAACGTACCTACTGGGAACTCAAGGTCAGGAAACCAAACGGCAAAGTCATCAGACCCAATGTTGGTAAGTCAACACAGAGCATACTTTTCTGTATGTCATATTTTACAGTCAACATCCACCATATCTTGTTCTTAAACTCATTATAAATAATTTCAAAATGTTGTTTAATCTTCATTCTGTTTGCAGGTATTGGATGTTACATTCCAAGTGCAAATGACCAAATCATCTTGAACTATAACAAGTACTGAAGGATCAGCAGTTCAATCAATGTTTGATGAAGCCTTTGTCTGATTCAACTGTATGATTATGTATTACATAGATTAACAATCAACTTAAATCAATTTATGTTTGTTGTTCAGTGAGAAATAACAGGTTAATAATGAGAACAGTGTGCTAAATACACATACAGTCAGGAAACAGATTGTTAATTGATAGTACTGAGAGGAAAGAGTTGATATAAATACTTTGTCTTGAATTTCTGATGATTACCTACTTGATTACATACTGTTACACACTTGAAATGCTTTCTGTGAATCTTTATGAATTAAAAATCAAAATCTTCTTATATCATCCAATCTGTGTCAGCTAAATCAGCTAAATGACTTTCTCCACAACAGTTTTTGAATGTAGCCACACAAAGGGTTCAGGTCTTTAGAGAAGTCTCTCTTGTGAAAATACAGAGATACATTAACTGTAGTACAGGATGAGGAAGATTTAAAACTTGGCAGGACGTTGTGTCAAAGTTGTGCTCAAAGCTTCCTCCTGCTTACCTCGAGTTATTCGAAACAGGAAGAATGGTCTTCATCAGGGACAAAATGTAAGGCAGCACCTCAGTAAGATAAAAGTACTTCAAGGTATCTGTGACATTAAGAATGAATCTTCCCTGTAATGTGTATGAAGTGCTTTAGAAAAACTAAATCACAAAACAGTGTCTGAAACTAAAGTAAGCCTACTTGTAACTGAAAACCATCCTTTCTGCAGAGACAGTGTGAGCAATAGGTATTGTAATGCAAGATCCACCCAAGTTTGTAATACTTGCTCAATGATTAGTTATATTCCGGTTCCACACTTCATGCTAAGCAGGTTTTGAGTCTGTAGTGTGTTCACCCTGTCAAAGGGGCAAACTTAGATATACTTAAAACACTGACAGAAATCGACTTGTTTTATGAGTGTGCTGCGTTGATCACGAGCGCCCCACGATGCACAGCATAAATAAATGAAGGAACCAGTGGCGTTTTCTCCCAGAGGCCACGGGAAGCTGTTTTTATCACTCTATCATTTTAATAAAAACACAATGTTTATAGTTTCGATAAATGTTATGTGCTGCTACAGTCATCTCTTTCCCATTTCTCACTGAGTAGGCCTATTTTACAATGTGAAATAGCACCCCTATAATGGATGTGTGGTGAAACACTATATTGCACCACCGTAGATCCCTTTGTGAAAAAAAATTAAATGATTAACCTATCAGATGAGGCCATAAGTTAGGCAGTGGCATGTCATGCCAGCACATCCCTGAAGTGGGCCCCATTCCTCTCCTGGATGGCATGCTCGTCAAGTGGAGCAAGGGGTTCTTCAGGCTGGAGTTCTGGCTCTTCCAAGATGTCATCATGTGTAAGGCACACATTGTGGAGGAATGCGCAGGCCAGGGCCACTTCTGAGCAGAATTTTGGCCTAACCTCCAGTGCCTTGAATAAGGTGATCTGCCAAGGTGCCTTCATGACCCCAAATACCCTCTCGATGATGGAACGGGCCTTGCAATGCTTTGCATTAAAGCATTCCTGCATCCTCCCTTGTAATGGGTGTCTGAAAGGGTTTTTTATGGAAATTGGAAGTTCAAGACAAGGGCAGCCTCCATCTCCCAAGAGAAAAAATCCAGGTGGATGGTACAGGGAATGGACAAAAACAGGGCTGTTTCTTAAAATCTGTGTGTCATGTACTGAACCTCCATAACCAATGACAACAAAAATGTCCATAAATCTCCCAGATGAGTCACAGATGCCTTGAAGTTGAATGGAGTGAAATTGTTGTAATCCAATTGGTTATGTTTGGGTGGTTTGATGCGTATGTGACAGCCAGCTATGGCCCCCACAGCCTTATTGAAGGCCTCATGCTGTGCCAGCTGCCCAAATCCTTGACCAACTTCTTCCAGGGTGTTTGGACTAGGGAAGAAGAAAACCTTAGACTTGCATCTGCAAATCTCCTTGTTAAATCTGTGTACAACTCTGAAAATGGTTGACTGTGGCACATCAAAAGCCCGTGCTGTCACTCGATAAGATACCCCATGGGCCAGCCAATAAACAAAGATAAGGACCTCTAAATTATGTCCCCAGACATGATCCCTGTTCTTGTGCAACAGATTTAGAAGGCCAGTGAAAGCCTGCCTCGACATCCTAAAGTCGATCCTCATGTCTCACTCCACATCCATGTACATCCTGAGGACCGGCACGTGGTTGTTCAGCATGGCATTTCTGGTGAGCTGGTATGCCTACATTCACAAAGAAGCACTACATTAACAAGGATTTACAATGATATATAAAACACATGAAATAAGAGGATCACTTTATTACACACCTAGTTTATTCAACTACTTATTTTAGTGTTAGTGAAGTGTTTAGTGGTTAATTATACTGTTTGGACCAATTATGGTACATTTATTGACAAATATAGATAATTATTGACAAGCCCTTACCTTTTGTCCACTCTGTAGGGCAAGAGCCTGCAAAACATGTAAATCAGGCAGTCGGTTTCTTATATGCCTTGGCCACACAGAAAGTAAAAAAACGTAAAATAAACAGTCCTAAAGCCACAATGGTGTGCAACAAGTTTAGTCATTGTCAGGGTGACGTGATAATGTCCAAAGTGCTGTCCCATTCCTATTTATAGCATTTTGGGCCCTTGCAGAACCTTCAGAAATTAAAACAGATTGCACCTTTCTAATGACTGTGTTCGTTGTCCATAACACACGCCTTCCCATACAACCACCGTGGGCCACTCGATCCTCAATGTTGACATCAGCAAACCACTCACCCACACAACGCCATTCACACTGTCTGCCTTCTGCCCTGTACAGTGAAAACCGGGATTCATCCGTGAAAAGGACACCTCCCCAAAGTGCCAGACGCCATCAAATGCGAGCATTTGCCCACTCAAGTCGGTTACGACGACGACCTGCAGTCAGGTCGAGACCCCGATGAGGACGACAAGCATGCAAATGAGCTTCCCTGAGACGTTTTCTGACAGTTTGTGCAGAAATTCTTTGGTTCTGCAAAAAGACTGTTGCAGCAGCTGTCCAGGTGGCTGGTCTCAGACGATCTTGGAGGTGAAGAGGCTGGATGTGGAGGTCCTGGGCTGGTGTGGTTACATGTAGTCTGCGGTTGTGAGGCCGGTTGGATGTACTGCCAAATTTTCTGAAATGGCTTTGGAGACGTCTTATGGTAGAGAAATGAACATTCAATTCATGGGCAACAGCTCTGGTGGACATTCCTGCAGTCAGCATGCCAACTGCACACTCCCTCAAAACTTGCGACATCTGTGGCACTGTGCTGTGTGATGGAACTGCACATTTTCGAGTGGCCTTTTATTGTGGCCAGCCTAAGGCACATCTGTGCAATCCCCATGCTGTCTGATCAGCATCTTAATATGCCACACCTGTGAGGTGGATGGATTATCTCGGCAAAGGAGAAGTGCTCACTAACACAGATTTTGACATATCTGTGAACAATATTTGAGAGAAATAGGCCTTTTGTGTACATAGAGAAAGTCTTAGATCTTTGAGTTCAGCTCATGATGAACGGGGGCAAAAACAAGTGTTGCATTTACAATTTTGTTCAGTGTAAATGTCTAATTTCAAGTCAGTGAACACTTTTCAACGCCACCTTACATAAGTGACAACACAAACAAATTGACCTACATTATGATGTGTATTAAAGCTATCGAGTGTCACAGTGACTAGCACAAATCATTCTTCAGACCAAATAGCCTACATTATAACATATATTTGTCATGTGAGTTTGTTGTCAGAGCAGCCGAGTTAGAACAGAAGGACATGCAGGTTTGACTCTGAGCTAAAGGTGAATGATTAAATATGATAATTAAGTAATACCATGTAATTACCAAAGTAATAACCAGCTAATAACTTGGTGTTAACAATGGGTGTATCCAGATAATATTAGACTGAAATTTATCTGGCGATCTGGAAAACTAATTAATAATATTATAGTAATATTTCGGTAACAATATGCTAACCTTCTAACAAAATTATTTTATCAGTGCAATATTTAGATTGAAAAAATGTAAAAGTAATGTGGTGACATTGATTCGTTAATTACCTGCTAATAATGATGTAATATAGGTCAATGTTTTCACAATATTATAGGATGCTATCAGCACAATACCTTCAAAATCACATGACAATTCTTGGAAGTCAGAATTATATTAATGACTATTTTATGATGCTGAAAATCATCCTTACTTAAGTTCCAAAATTACCCTTTTGTTTCCAGGTAATAGTGCAAAATGCTGAACTACCTGTTTCTACTTAATGTTATGAAAAACAGCCATAATGAGTACCTGGAAACACTTCTGTGACTGGAGGTGTGTTCTCAGTAGGGTTTCTCGTAAGAGGAGTTACTTCCTCTTATTAGAATGCATAACTGTTAATGTGTTGTCCAATCAGCTGAGAATTTTTGGAAATGCATCTGCAATATGAGCACAAAACATTGATACAACTCAAAGTGAAGGTGGAAGGCGCAGCTGAAGCCTAAAAACAACAGTTTAAATAGTTTAAATGTAAACTTACTGGTTTATCCATTGGAGTCAATGTGTTGCTCAATGTGCCCATTGTTCTTTGTCACTCTACACATGTGTCCTAATGTATTAGTACATAATTCTATTTTTGATTGAAGTCTATGATTGGCTGTTTCAGTATGAAGTCATGTGTAAAGGAGTGCTATAAAAGTTACTGACCAAGAGTTCTTCCAACAGGACCCGGAGATACGCGAAGAGGATCCACCATTCAAATCTTAACAATCTCAACTGCTCCTGCACTTTTACACATCTCTTAGAGGTCAGAAGGAAAAGCTGACTGAAGTTAGAATAGTTTTTGTGATCTACTTATTTTGTATATGTTTTAAATGGTGCTTGCTTATTTACTGATTGGGACATCTTTAAGAGATTTTTTGTTTTTTTGATGTGAGGTGGTATGAGTCGCAGTGGATCATAGCTCAAAGGTCTCTTACCAGAGGCCTGAGCTAATGCCTATACATTAGTGGCCCCTGCCATGTCATGTCAAAACATCACCTCTGATTTTTTATTGTTCTAAAGTTTAGATGAATCTCTCTTCATTTCAATCAATAGTTTTTTGCACAATTTTATGTTTTAAATGTTCAGTGAAGAAGGAAAAGACAGATGTTTGATGTTAAATCAGAGTGGCTGTGGATATTATTCTGTAAATAATATCACAGAGTACGGTCTAGACCTGCTCTTTTATGAAAAGTGCTACGGGATAACTGTTGT